GCAATTTAAGCAGGCACCTGCCTCAGTTACACTAGGCCTAGAGGAGAGGTGCTGTCTAAAGCAGGGGTCTCCAACCCTGGCAACTTTAAGACCTGTGGACTTCAACTGCCAGAATTAAGGATTCTGGCAGTTGAAGTCCACAGGTCTTAAAGTTGCCAGGATTAGAGCAGGGGTGAAATGCTCCCGGTTCGGACCAGATTGCCTGATCCGGTAGCGATGACAGCGGGTGGTTCGGAGAACCGGTAGCAAAAATCCCTGCCCGCCCCCCATGCCCAGCTGAGCTGCGCAATCATCAGGGGCTTTTTTTTTTTTTACTTTTAAAAGCATTTTTTCTTCAGCCGAAAAAAGTAGTGCGTAAGCCGTAGTGCGGCTCAGCTGGGATCGTCAGAGCCTTTTAAAAGCATTTTTTCTACAACCTCTTCGGCTGAAGAAGTTGTAGAAAAAATGCTTTTAAAAGGCTCTTGACGATCCCAGCTGAGTTGCCTGATTGTCTAAGACTTTTTTTTATTTTAAAAGCAAAAAAAAAAAAATGCTTTTAAAAGAAAACAAAAGCCTCTGACGATCAGGCAACTCAGCTAGGATCGCCGGAGCCTTTTAAAAGCATTTTAGAAAACATTTTGTTTACATAGAAAAAATGCTTTTAAAAGTAAAAAAAAAAAAAAAAAAGTTGGCTATGCCCACCCAGTCACATTACCCCCTACCAAGCCACACCCACAGAACCGGTAGTAACAAATTTTACATTTCACCACTGGGTTAGACACCTCTGGTCTAAAGTGAAAAAAGGATAAGATAACAAACTGATAGCACTACGCACATACTTTATGCCCCCCCCCTTTTTTTTTTGTCCATTCACCAAACAGCATCCATTGTCTGTAAAGCAACCCAAGTAGAAGAAAGAGGCAGGATGGCACTTAAGAAAAATTATGCATAAGTCCTAGATTTACGACCACAATCGAGCCCAAAATTTCTGTTGCGGGGGCAGTTGTTAAGTGAGTTTTGCCCCATTTTGCAATCTTTCTCGCCACAGTTATTAAGTGAATCGTTGCAGTTATTAAGTTAGTGACCTGGTTGTTAAAGGAATCTGGCTTCCCCAATGACTTTGCTTGTCAGAAGGTTACAAAAAATGATTACATATGACCCTGGAACACTGCAACCGTCATAAATATGAACCAGTTGCCAAGCATCCAAATGTTGATCACGTGACCATGGTGATGGTGCAACGGTCATCAGTCACTATTTTCAATGCTGTTGTAACTTGGATCAGTCGCTAAATGGATGGTTGTAGGTCAAGGACTATCTGTAGTCATCCACCCATTTTGTGTGTTAAATTTCCCAGATGGATGGTGATGGTGATATTGACTACTTGGGGAAAAAATAAGTTGAAACAAGTGTTTTACCTTTTAGCCAGGGGTGAAATCTAGCAGGTTCTGACAGGTTCTGGAGAACCAGTAGCGGAAATTTTGAGCAGTTCAGAGAACCGGCAGTGGAAATTTTGAGCAGTTTGGAGAACCAGCAAATGCTACCTCTGGCTGGCCCCAGAGTGGGGTGGGAATGGAGATTTTGCAATATCCTTCCCCCAGGAGTGGGGAGGGAATGGAGATTTTGCAGTATCCTTTCCCTGGAGTGGGGTGGGAATGGAGATTTTGCTGTATCCTTCCCCTGCCACGCCCACCAAGCCAGGCTCACAGAACCGGTAGTTTAAAAAATTGGATTTCACCACTGCTTTTAGCTAATCCTTGGAGAATCAGTGGGAAGTTTTTTTTTTCTTTCGAAATGTATTTATAATTATTTAACCCCACTGGAATAAATTAAAGTTCTCAGGAATGCTTCTGGACTCGTCCCAAAGTTTAATCTGTGTTCTTGAATGTTCCTCCAATCAGTTTTAAAGATGGAAGGTTGTAGTGATGTGGCTAATTGATTGACTGATTGATTGAGGTATACACACAGTATGTGTGTGTGTATATATATATCTGTTCTGAACCTCTCTATACCTGTAAAGGAATTCAGAGCTGATATAAATAAGAGAGCCATTAAGGGAGAAAGAAAGGAATGAGCCATTAAGGAGGGATGTGGGTAAGACATTCAACAGTCCAGATATAGGGAGAGAAAGAAACTCAAAATAACCCTGTCTTAATTTTGTGTAATATAAAATGAAACAGGGAGAAGCTTTTGAGGCTTTTAAGGCCCTTTACTAATTTCTTAAATCCTTGTGCTAGTTTTTCACCTGATCTCCATCAAAAGGTTGACAATAACCACAACTGAAAGACCCACAACTCTTTTCCTAGGTCAGCCTTCTAGGTGCTTCCCCAGAAGAAGGTAAACCAGGCAAAACAGTACTGATTAAAACTGGAACGTTTGACAATTATAATATGTTTATGGATTTTCCATTTCAAGAGCGTGTCGTGCTATAGCAGTTCACAAGTAAAGAAACTACATTGTTGTGTTTTTTAGGAAGAAAGACATTATCCAAATGGATACTATGGCAGTTTATCGAATCAAACTAAAAATAAAATCAGGAATAAGTAAATATAATAAATTTTTTAAAAAATTAAAGTGTGAAAGGTATTTTAAAAGCTGAGTGTAGAAAACATGTTTGTCCTAATGAAAACAAAATTAATACTGATAGTTTAAAATACAGCTGTGTTTTGTGAAGGATATAATATGAATTTTCCAAAATTTCTGAATACCAAATAATATGTAGGCATATATTTAATTATCTTTAAAGACAAAATATTTTTTAAGTTATAGCATCTGCTTTTTTATGACCAATAGTTTTGGTGGTTATTGGCCCAGCCTATCTTAGAGGACTGACAGAGTCATTCTACAATGACATCTTAACTCTTAGTTGACTACTTGGTTGGGTGAGGGATACTGTAAATGCTGCTCAAGGCTGAATATTAATTGTGAATTTGAATTGAAACTCCTGTTACGATATATGCACTACTTTGTAAAAAAAAGCTTGACTTAATTTAAGGCTATAGCTATATCCACAGAATGCAAAGAATGTGGCTTTGGTCATTTGAAACATTGTGATTATTATAATAATTCGCTGTCTTTTTGCTGACACTAGTACTAAGTTAATGGTGCTTCATTTATAATAGTAAGGCAGAAAGATAAACAAATTTGGCTTACTGAGGGAGGTAATTAGTATCATTCATTGCTTGTATAGCCTTTATTTGATTATATCCTCTTTTCATCCAAGAGCTGAAGTCAGTGCTGTCCTATTTCCGCCCAGAACATCTTTAGAGGGAGGGTGGCTGAGAAAGAATGATAAGCTAAATAACCTTGGACCTTTTGCTCTTAATCCAGCATCTTAACCACAGCACTACACAGGACTGTTCTACTCCAGACATGATTCATTCAGTATTCAGCTTACATATTTTTGTAGCTTCAGAAAGGTTCCTTTGCGGTACTTGAAAATTGAGTATTTTGGGCAGATACCGTAAATTAATCTAATCTTGGCCTTCTAGTTGTGTGACCAAAGGGATCTCTCAATTTTAAAAAATCTGATTAAAAATGATTTGCAAAACTCCTTAATTTTGTTAAAAGTACCACTTTAGATAAATTCTACTTTAATTTAGAATGCACGCTTTGATTCTGAGACATTTTATCACTGTGCATGGTTCTATTGTAATTTTCTAAGTAGAGTTCTACAGCAGTTGTCCAGATTTTTACAATGTGCTTCAGAAAAAAAAAAAAAAAGCTTGGAAAATAGAGAGCATTAGCATGGAGTTTTCTAGCAAAGCTGTATATGCTGCTTTATTGGTAAGACAGACTTTTGATTGTTAATGTGTGAAAATCATGGGAGTCCTACTCATCCTTTCAATAAAGAGGGTGGACATGTTCAATAATGTATTTTATTATGCCAGAAGACCAGAGATCTACGAAGCATTATTTCATAGGCAGTATAGGATAGTCTGTTCTCTTTTGCCAAAGTAAGAAAAAATTCTGAACACAGAAAATGAAATGCCTCTCTGTGTTTGAGGACAAGCTGCTCCATATGTTAAATATATGACATGAGGTAGGCAATCAGCATCTAGAAATGAATTTTGCATATGAAGGCACCTAAGCCCATCATTTTTCACCATATCCCCAAACCAGGGAAACATTTACAGCAGTTATTCCTCTTATTGATATTCTATATGTGTGTAAGAAAGAGAAAATTCACAAATATATGAAGATGGGCAAGCATCATTCCCTCTGACTTATTAGTCTGCCATTGGCAGGGCAATTCTGAATTCTTTGGAATGCTCTAAACGAAACATTTTTGGACTGTAATACAATACTTTTTCTATGATTCAGGCTCAAATTGGCATACTTGGTTCATATTATGAAGTGAAGTAGAAAAAACTCCAATGCTGAAAAAGGGGAGGGGGGGAGAGAGAAGATGACCAGCAGCAAGATGGATGGACTCAATTATAATGGCGATGAGTCTACCACTACAAGACCTAAAAGACCAGGTTAGGGACAGATCATCATGGAGAAAAATCTATTTTCCCAACAATGGAGAAATACTGAAAGTGAAATGGTGATTTTTAGGTTTGTTAATTGAAATGGGGTTGAATATGGGATAGAAGGGATCTCTCTAATGCAGGGATGTCAAACTTGTGACATGTTGTGACGTGACGTATCACAACTTTTCCCCCTTTGCTAAAATAGTGGGCGTGACCAGTGCGTGACACATCCGGTCCACAGGCCACGTGTTTGACACCCCTGCTCTAATGTGATATGAAAAATGGAAGAGGGATAATAACTTTATTTGTAACTGCTACAAAGAAAATCAGAAATTGCTTCTTTAGGTTTTTTGTCTTTATTGCTTTTTTTACTTTTTAACTTTTATATATATATTTTCATGTTTATCTTTTATCTATGTAAATTTTTTCAATAAAAATTATACATAAAAATATATATGGTTTCTAGGAATTAAAAATTACTTGATGACTCATAATTCACTTATTTGTTTGGAAATAAGAAAGAATGTGTGTTAGCAAAATGCTTTTTTAATTTGTTTATTAAAGATTTGAATTGTTTTTTTTCTACAGTGGATGAGTGTCTGTGACTTCAGGTAACATCCAATAAACCTATTGCTCAGAAAAATACAATTTCATTGAAGTTAATAGAAACATGTTTTGTTACTAAATCGGGAAAAAAATGTTTCTTATTCCAGATGTTGGACTTTGTTTTCCATGGGTTTAAACAAGCTAGGCAATTGACTGATTTGAAACCATTTGTTTTGTTTTTAAAATAAAGTAGTTCCACTGATTTGGGGAATGTTTCCTATGATATTCCTGAAATTAATTCCTATTTTAATATTCAGTTGCTCTGAACCATACATTCATTCAGCCTGCTTATAAGTAGTGTTAATTCAGTTTCATCTGGGCATGATATTTCTGTTTGTCTGAAAGGCTAATGAAAGTCACTAAAGTACAAAACTATACATATTCACTCTTCATTGGGTAATGAAACATCTGCAAGAAAACAATCAAGCTCAGAAAACAATACAGATTCCATAATTCAACCCTGAGCTACAAATATTCTCTTCTGTTAGTATACCTAGTTTATATTTTGATTTATCTTCAGGGTCAGAAGTACATAGCTAGCCCTTAGGGACAATTAAAATGTTATGGCAATGACTGCAGTAAATATAACTTTTGTACCAAGCTTATAGGAACAAAGTTTCAGACAAGCAAAGCTCTTAGTAGAAAAAGACATGTGAGAGAGTAAATTCTGATCTTCACACAAATGTTTTTGGGTTTTTTTTTAAACTTACCTGTCAGGTCTAGGGGTACGAGTTAAAATAAATGGAAATTTTGCATTTAGATAATTAAAATTCTATGCCAACAACATTATATTTTCAATTAATAATTTTGCATAAATCTGCTAGGTTTCGTTATTCTTTACCATCTCTTAAAGGTTTTAAGATTTTTACAGGATTGCATCTAATGTAGAAATCTTAAAAGTTTGAATGGAAAGTTAAATCTTCTGGATCTATTTTATTAAATGTCTATGCAGACATTTATCCTTATAATGTTTCTGCCATTTCTACAGGTGAAGTTTAAGTCTAAATTGGGAACCATTCACCTGCTTGGTTCTAGCTCTTCCAAAGTGCTAATTACTTTATGATCACAAGTATTGCTCTTAAATATTAACAGGTCTTCTAGCAAAAAAGAAAAAAAAACCACACACCAAAAACAAAAAACTAAAGTGTTTTTTTAAAGTTTCAAAACCCACCTGGATTTGAAACATAAGGACTGTGATATCTGAATAAAAATCTTTATTTATTTGAAAATTGGTTAGAAGAAAATACTAGCTTCAGTTTTAATGCTTACATAAAATTCAATTCATCACCTTAATTTTTAATTAACATGTAAACAATATTCCTTTATATTTAAGGTCATGTGATATATCCAATGGAGAGCTTGGAGATTAAACAGCTGCTTCTTTATTTGGAAACATGTTGTCCAATGCAACAATGTCACTCTGAAAAGAAGGGGAGCTCTCAGCATCATTGATCTCTGCCAACCTTAGTGCTGTTTCCTCCATTGTTGTCCAAAAACCTCATATTCATAGAAGGAACCCTTCTGCTGGAATCAGAATATATAATTCTATTACAGTGTTTTAAATATTCATGACCTATCGTTAAGCTGACAAATTTCTCGGAATCAGAAATAGGGAATTATGACATTCCATATGCCAGTGGATCACAGCTCCCAACAATCCTCGAGGAAGTTGGGAAATGTAGTTCAGCATTTATATGGTCACAGGTTCATCACCCTTGCCATAATAGGGCATTGTAGTAAAAAAAAAAAAGGATTCAATTAAGTAGAACATGTCATCTGTGATACTGCTTACAATAATCCCATAAGATGCATCAGAGTAATCCACAAAACTGATGCTATTTTTTATATATATCTCTGTCTCCTTTAAAATGTCAGATTCGTTGATTTAAACAAAAAAAACCCAAACCCAACCCATTCAATTTAGGCACCAGCAGTATTGATAATTCATTAAATGGCCTTCATAAAATGTTTTTCTAACATGTCATAATACTTTTAGGTATTCTGTTTTCTTCAAAGTACTGTATCAAAGTATCAAAAATATTTTCTAAGGCAGAAAATTCTAAGCAAAATAAATACAAGCTTAACATTTACACTTCTTTTAAGATTATTAAATCTTGTAGAGTAGCTGTAGAGTATCTACATTTGTAATTAATCTACAATTTTTTAATTTATGATTTTTTTAAAAAAAAAATCGATGCTTTTGAACTTTGGTGTTGGAGACGACTTCTGAGAATACCATGAATAGCCAGAAAACAAATTGATCATAGAACAAATCATTGCAAAGTTCCTATTGAAAACAAAAATCGCCAAGTTCACATTTTGAGGTCAATAATTTTGGGAAATGTGGGAAGACAGAGAAAAAGAAGACAACCAGCAGCAAAGTGAATAGACTCAAACTGGCAATGGGTACATTGTTTGAAGATCTGATGGGCCAGATCGGAGATACATCACCCTGGTATCTATATGGTGGTTAAGAATCAATACTGACTTAATGGCACATAATATATTTACAAATGAAAACAAAAATTTAAAATATAGTCCATTTCTGTAGCTGAAATAAAAATGCCATAATTAGAAGTTTCAAAGGAGGACTTTAAAGTATCTTCTTGCCTTCTTTTGTCCTTTAGTAATAATTTAGTACAAGTCTTTTAAAATGCAAACACTGTTCAAAGAATCCCCTTTGCAAAAGGTAGGCTTTTCTCTTCTCTTTGCTATTTCCCATTGAAACCACAAGAAAATGAACAGCAGAGCAATTTAAGTGATATTCACATTAGAGTACCAAACTTTATCAGGAAGCATGAAGAACATTCAGTTCCCACTCTCAAATTTACTTGATAATTCATGCATGATGTTGTTGCAAGCACATAAAAAATAGCTAAAGAAAAAAATAACTATGAAAAAATGGACCAGTATATCAAATTAAATAAAATGTATGATCCTGGAAATATTATTCTGGAATACTTGTCAATGGCATGAGTGTCGATTCTCATGCTGCTATATCTCTGGATTTTCCTCCTATTTGAATTTCCTTCTGATCCAAGACCCAACTGGACCATCATTCTGTCTTCTTTGCCTCCATTTTCAGACACATATTGCCCTAATTCATTTACTTCTCCATCACTGTAGCTGCCTTCCATCCCTGTCATTTGCTTTGGCTGTGGTATTGCAGAAGCACAAGAAAGCTGCGGAGGAAAGAGAAGGAATGACATTCAAATCGACATAACTACATCCATTGGTTAAGGTCAGTTCCTGCCATAATTATATATGACTTTGTTTTAAATTTGAATATTTAGATTATTTAAAAATACTAAATATCTTACCAAAGTAACAGAATATTTGAAAGTTAGGGTTGAATTGTGGGGTGCTCTCTGAGCATTGTTTTTTCTTGCAGATGTTTTATTACCCAACTAGGATATATCATCAGTGCTAGAACTACACTCCCTTCTAGCACTAATGATGTTATCTAGTTGGGTAATGTAATGTCTGCAAGGAAACAACCAAGCTCAGAGAGCAACAAGGATTCACATTAAAGTCTCAGTTGTTCCCTCTTAGTTCCTTATGACAGTAACATTTACCTTCTCACATTGCTTCCGTTCTTTTCTCTCTTGCACCGTGGTCAGGTAATTCACTGCAGCATACTCTAATACTGAGAGGAAGACAAACACAAAACTGACCCAGAGGTAAATGTCCACAGCTTTGATGTAGGAAACTCGAGGCATGGAGGCATTGACACCAGTGATGATGGTAGACATGGTCAGTACCGTCGTGATACCTAAGGACATTACAATTTTCCAATTGAAGATACTCATTTTTAAATAATGCATTTATTTCACCAAAGGGCAAGCTTTTTTTTTTTTTAAAGAAAATAATACGTTGATTTAAAGAAGTTGGTCTTATTTATACTGACAGCCTGGTATCTTTATTTGTGTTTCTGCCTTTTTAGGATAAACTAAAAGCCTGTTAGTACACACCCTACCCAGTGGTGGGATTCAGCCAGTTCGCAACAGTTCGGGAGAACCGGTTGTTAACTTTCTGAGCAGTTGGCAAACTGGTTGTTGGAAGAAATCATTAGGACAGAGAACCAGTTGTTACTTGAATCCCACCACTGACCCTACCCAGTATTGCCCAGACTGATGCATAGATAGATGCCTTGAGGATAGTTAATTCTGCTTTTGAGCCACAGAACCAGGCTAGCGTTGCCATCCTAGACACATTTGGTGGAGGAAGTAAGATAGTAGAAAACAGCAAGACCTATTTATGAGAAAATAATTGTTGAAAAGGGATCTCACATTTGCAGTCTAAAGCAAACTTATCTCTGATAAAACTCATTGGACTTAGTATTGTTTTCAAATAAACAATTGATACAAATGGCTAAATCTACATAGTTTTAGTCCCTGTGATTATCTGTCTGATCGTCTATCTATCTATCTATCTATCTATCTATCTATCTATCTACAGTATCTATCATCTATTTATCTTTCTTTCTTTCTTTCTTTCTTTCTTTCTTTCTTTCTTTCTTTCTTTCTAACAACCGGTTCTCCCGAAGTGGTGCGAACTGGCTGAATCCCACTACTGCTTATGACCATTTTTCATGCTTATGACTTTTGCAGGTCAGGTGATCAAAATTCAGATGCTTGGCAACTGGTTCATATTTATGACCGTTGCTGTTTCCCACGGTTATGTTTTTACACCTTTTACATGTTTTACACCTTTTACAACCTTCTGACAAGCAAAGTCAATGGCGGAAGCCACGTTTTTTTTTTTTTCAATTTGATTTATATGTCGCCCTTCTCCGGAGACTCAGGGCGGCTTACAATGCGCTAAGCAATAGCCTTCATCGTTTTGTATATTTATACAAAGTCAGCTTATTGCCCCCACAAACTGGGTCCTCAATTTACCTACCTTAGAAAGGATGGAAGGCTGAGTCAACCTTGAGCCTGGTGAGATTCGAACCTGCAGTAATTGCAGGCAGCTGGTCTTAATAACAGGGTGCTTTAGACCACTGTACTACCAAGTACATTCACTTAACAAGTGGGTTACTAACTTATCAACTGCAGCAATTCACTTAACAACTGGGGCAAGAAAAGTCATAAACTGAAGCAAAACTCCCTTAACAAATTTCCCACTTAACAACAGAAATTTGGGGCTCAATTGCGGTCATAAGTCGAGAACCACCTGTATTACAACTAAGTTTACTTGTCAATACACACTGTCCTAGGTTGCAGCTGTTCTAAATAAAGCAGAGATGGATTCCATCACTTACCTAAGGGAACTCTTGCAGGCACAGCACGGCGGTCTATCCAAAAAGAAACCCAAGACAACATGACCATCAGAGTGGCAGGGAAATAGGTCTGAAGCAAGAAGAAGAAGATATGTCGTCGTAATGTGAAGTTGATGAAGAGACGGTTATACCAACCTGCAAGAGAAAGAGGGAGAACCAGATCACACTGAAGTCTACCAATGACAACAAACACATAAGCAGCAAGGAATTCTTAGAATATTTACTGTGGATTCAGTTTAGGTGTTTTTTAAACATTGAGCAAAAGCGACTGGTTTACCCAAGTTTAATGAAATAAAATAGTCTGCTGCAAATAGATCTGGTTTTTTTCTTCCTAATTCCTGTAAATATTTTTGTGCATCGTGAAAGAGACAAAAAATGTCTCCGCGTTCTCTATCTCTGTGAAGCAAATGTTGCAATTTGTTTTGACACTTCCTCCTGTCAAAATACCCTCAGTCACACTGGAACAGGTGGAAAGTAACATTTTGGCAAATAGAAATGCCCTACTCCTACTAAGTTCCACTAACAGTTCTATTTGTACAAGAATGACTTCTGTTCCTTCTCTCTAGCCTTTCTACGTGAACATGTTTAGAATTCATAAGACTGAAACATTTTTTCAGACAATAGCAATAGCACCTAGACTTATATATCACTTCACGGTGCTTTACTGCACTCTCTAAGTGGTTTACAGAGTCAGCATATTGCCCCTAACAGTCTGGGTCCTCATTTTACCGAGCTTTTATATCTTTCACACACCACTTTTAAGTACTGATGAACAATTATACAGCCGTTCTTGAATGCAACATCATTAAACTTGCCAAGGAAATCTTATATTTGTGAATATTTAAGTTATATAATCTTCTTGGATTATATACTTTAAATCTTCTTTCTTGGTAAAACCTGTAAAATAATGTTACGAAAGTCCTTTTTTGGCCTGATGGACAATTTGGCAAAAATAGATTCTTGGAAATAAAAGAATGGCAACTCTATAATATACTTTCTTTTCAGATAGGCCTAGAACTTTCTCGAGAATTGATATCATATGCGTTTCAAAAAGGTGGCTAATTAGATAGTTAAGGTAGATGTCTTACCTAGAATATTTTCTGATCATAATCCAGTGATTTTAACACTCAAGGGGAAAATCTACAATTTTTAGATGGAGATTAAATTTAATTTAAAAAAAAGAATTGTTTAAGACTGTAAAAAGAAGTTAAATGATTTTTTAAAATAATAATTTGGACAAAGGCATGGCTTGAATGACTGTCTTAGATGCCATCAAAGCTGTTATGAGAGAAATCCCAAGAAAAAAAAGAACTTTAAAAAAAACAGGAAGATTTACAGAAAGTATCAACAGACACTGTTATTTTATATCACATTAAAATTTTACTTCCACAATTACCTATGCTAATTATAAGAGAAATAGAGACCAAACTAAACTATATGAAATAGAAGAACTTTGAATTTGCAGATAAACTAGGGAAATGGTTGGCATATGAATTGAGAAAGGAGAGAGAAAAGAACACAATATTAAAGATCCAGAAAAGGCAAGATTGTACTAACAGATAATGTGAGTATTCATTATCCATGACTTCTATTTAAATTTGTATAACAAACAGGAAGTTTCTCTGGAAAAGATTGATGAATACTTGAAAAAACAGAGTCTACCAAAACTTTCACAACCTCAGTAGCAAATTATGAACAAGCTATAAAAAAAGATTAAAAGTAGGAAAGCACCAGGTCTGGATGGGTTGTGAACTCATATTATAAATGCTTTGTGGATCAACTTTTATACCTCTTAAAAAACGTGATGAATTCCATTCTACAAAGGTCTGCTATGCCAGAATCCCGGAAAGAGCCACTATTTATTTATTTATTTTATTTTATTTGTATACCGCCCTTCTCCAACAGGACTCAGGGCGGTGAACAGCCATGGTAAAAACACAACATATAAAATTTAAAAACAATTTAAAAAACATTAAATAATTTTGGCCATCAATTTAAAATAACCCAATTAAAACCAATTATAAATTTAAAACCGCAAGGATGGGGTCAAGCCAGCCCGGCTAGATGGAATAGATGTGTTTTCAGGGCCCGAGGAAAAGTCCGGAGGTCTGGTATCGTGCGTATCTCTGGGGGTAGGTTGTTCCAGAGGGCAGGTGCCGCCACAGAGAAGGCTCTCCCCCTGGGGGTCGCCGGCCGACATTGTCTGCCCGACGGCACCCTGAGGAGGCCCTCTCTGTGTGAGCGAACTGGCCGGTGGGAGGCTATTGGTGGCAGAAGATGGTCTTGTAAATACCCTGGCCCTAAGCCATGGAGCGCTTTAAAGGTGGTCACCAACACCTTGAAGCGCACCCGGAAGACCACAGGAAGCCAGTGCAGCTCGCGCAGGAGAGGTGTCACATGGGAGCGCCCCGTCGCTCCCATAATCCCCGCGCGGCCGCATTCTGGACCAACTGGAGCCTCCGGGTGCACCCCAAGGGGAGCCCCATGTAGAGAGCATTGCATATTGCCAATGGAAGCAGAGCATATTGCCAATTGAAGGACAATGTCTCACTTCAGCCAAGAATTATAGACTGATGTAGTTGCTGAATAATGGTTATTAAATATTTGCAACAATATTGGCTGATAAACTTTTTTTTTACAGGATATCATTCATAATGATCAATGTGGGTTTCTATTCAAAAGACAATTAAGAAATCACATGATAAATGTATTGGATGTAAGAGCATTTTCTACAGCAAAATGAGAAGCAAGTGGCCTTGATTCTTGCAGATACAGAGAAAGCTTTTGACAATTTGAATTGGACATTTATGTTTAAAGTTTTGGGAAGTATGGACTTTGGGGAGAATTTTATTCAGGGAATCAAATCAATATATACCTTACAGGAGGCATATATTATTATTAATGTAGATTTAACCACGCTTATTTATGGAACAATTATGTTAAGGTATGAAATGATATTAAGAAAGACGTATTGAAGTGGAAGAAATGACAATTGTCATTATTGAGCAGAATTTCAGTGTTTAAGATGAATGTTTTACCAAGGATATTGGTAAAATCCAAACAATACCGATGCTGACGATTGATATACCATTCAAACTGTGGCAAAAAGATATCTCTAAATTGTACAGCAAGGCAAAAAAACAAGAATCAAATATAGGATTACCTGATTTGAAATCGTATTTTGCTATTTGTTGTTTGGTACGGATGAAAGATTGGGTGACTGAGGAATAGGAGGTTACTGGAGTTAGAAGGACATGATTTGAAATTTGGTTAGTGGCTAAGATGCTGAGCTTGTCGATCGAAAGGTCGGCAGTTCAGCAGTTCAAATCCCTCGTGCCACATAACAGCGTGAGCTCCCGTTACTTGTCCCAGCTTCTGCCAACCTAGCAGTTCGAAAGCACATAAAAAATGCAAGCAGAAAAATAGGGTCCACCTTTGGTGGGAAAGTGTTCCGTGCGCCTTTGGCATTTAGTAATGCCTGCCACATGACCACCACATGACCACGGAGACGTCTTCAGACAGCAGTGGCTCTTCGGCTTTGAAACAGAGATAAGCACCGTCCCCTAGAGTCAGGAACAACTAGCACATATGTGCGAGGGGAACTTTTACCTTAACCTTTTATGACAAAATTAATATAGATTTTCAAGATAATTTTGTTAGATGTCCCATAATGAGGGTTCGGATTAGGTATAAAATAAGACTGACTCCAAAAATTCCTCTATGTATGTCACCCCAAGAAACCTTTCTTAGAAGAGAAATGATAGCTATACAAACTTGGTTGACCTATTCTGATTTCTTGACTTATTCTGAAATAGAACCTATGCTAAACTCTTTCCAGAAAAAAAAAGGATTGTTATATTTGACAATATTTTGCTTATGCTCAATTTATAGATTTAAACTGGATAAAAATAATTTTATGAATGAATAATCTGTGTTTGAAGTGGATTTATGTACTAACCCTGACCATATTATTGCTAAGATTTATAAATTATTATTGAAAATGAAGATAGAAGATAATTACGTCAAAGAATGTATGATTAAATGAGCAAAAAACTTTGGATATAACATAGTGCTTGATCAATGTGAGAATATGTGGAGTAAGGGATTGAAATTTACATTGAATTATAACTTGAAAGATAATTTTTATAGGATTATGTATCATTGAAATTTAATAACTGATCAATTGTAAAATATGTACAACAGTATGTCAAACATACATCTGCTTGTTTAAGTAGAGGTGGCACTCTTTCTGGGGTGATGGGGGAAGACCTGCAGAGGGTGAAGATCCCAAAGAGAGGTCTGGCCAGATGATGTGGATATTTGTGACAGACAGACTTCTTCCTCCCCTTGCTACAAATCCAACGAACGCCAAGTTACAACACTGCAGTTAGAGATGTGCAATTCAAGCCTGAGTTTGGGATTTATCTGCTGAGCTTTTGTAGGAAAGAAAACAAATTAATTCCCATTGTAAAAGTATGAAGAAATACGCTTTGTGGTCCAAGCGAACTTACCTGTGCTGCTATAAAAAGCAAGTTTGGTGGTGGTGTGAAACTCTTGTATAAGGAACTGAGATAATGATATTCTATCATCTGTTTTCAAGGACTCGTTCCCATTCTTCCAATACAGCATAAGATCATCTTCAGTATAAGCATCTACAGAGAAAAGAAATATTTATGGCAATGAATCCAGGTAACATACAACACAGAGTTTAGTCCAATCCTCAGCAGCCTGGTACCCATAAAGTAATGTCTTATATTTCAACTCTCAATCTATTTTATACACATCATAATTTAGTTCTTGCTATTACAAACATGCTAGCAGTTCTTCCCAATGCAATTGTAGTCCGATCAATGCTGTTAATATTAATGATGAGGGGCAGGTTTTACCCCTTCAATATCATTGACAGCAGCATAACAAAAAGTGGGAAACATTAAATGTGAAATTGGACAGCTACTACTTTATGTAGTACTTAATATGAATCATTATATGCATACTTAAGTCTTCTATGTTTAGTTGCAAAATATGGATCTGGGGTCCAATATCATTTGTCAGTCAGTTCATAAAAGAACTGTTGTAATCTAATTGTTCCCTCTGTTGTTTTTGACTGTGAGAGATGCAATATCCAGTTTGGTTGCCATGTGTGTAGACTTTTAGCCATTTAGTTAGAGTAGAATGTTGCCCAGTGTATACCATTGTGGAGGTAGTCTACAGTTCATATCTTAGATAATTAGCTTCCTTAGATATCAAATTATAACTTCAAATTATTATGTGGCTCTATGATGCCATATTATGATTATTTTCTAATAGTCTTATCTTAATTTAATATTTTATCTTGGATATTTTATTGTCCACATACAGGTAGTTACAACAGTTCATTTAGTGACCATTCAAAGTTACAATAGCACTGAAAAAAGTGATTGATGACCACTTTTCACACTTACGACTCTTGCAGCATCCCTATGGTCATGCGATCAATATTCAGACACTTGGCAATTGGCTCATATTTATGACGGTTACAATGTCCCAGGGTCAAGTGATCACCTTTTGTGACCTTCTGACAAGCAAAGTCAGTGGAAAAATCAGATTCACTTAACAAGTGTGTTACTAACTTAACAAAACTTCAGTGATTCACTTAACAACTGTGGCAAGAAAGGTTGTAAAAGGTGGCAAAAGTCACTTAACTGTCTCACTTAGCAACAGAAATTTTGGGCTCAATTATGATCATAGGTTGGGGACTATCTGTACATGCTCTCTCTATCTCTGTGTGTGTGTCTCTCTCTCTCTGTCTCTCTCTCTCTTGATTTATATTTATATATAGTGATTATATGTAGTGATTATATATAGTGATTAATGATGGTTTATTTAAACTTATATTTGTGCCTCTATGTTTGTTTTATTAGTGTTGCATACCAGTGATCGCATAACCTCTGAAGATGTCATATGCTAAATAAACAAAATAAAAAACTGTATATCTAATTTCAGCACAACACCTTATTGTCACTATGGCCATAACAAATCAGTCAGCAAAGGAATTGTTTTATAATTTCCAGATTATTTGCTAAAATCGTGTTGACTACTGTAATGCTCTCTACATGGGGCTGTCCTTGAGGACCACTCGGAGGCTTCAACTGGTACAGAATGCGGCCGGGCGGGTTGTGATGGGAGAGTCCCGATACTCCATGTTACACCCCTCCTGCGCGACTTGCATTGGTTGCCGGTTGCCCTCCAGGTGAGATTCAAGGTGCTGGTGATGACCTATAAAGCCCTACATGGCTTAGGCCCAGGATATTTGGTGGACCATCTGCTGCCAGCAACAGCTGCCCATCGCCCGGTGCGTTCTCACAGGGAGGGCCTGCTCCGGGTGCCGTCGGCTAGATAGTGTCAGCTGGCGACCCCTAGGGGTAGAGCTTTCTCTGTGGGCGCACCCACCCTCTGGAATCAACTCCCCCTGGGGCTCCCGGTTGGCTCCTGACCTTCGCACCGTCCGCCGCAAATTAAAAACATGGTTGTTTACATCGTCCAGCCTGGACTGAGAGGGTTTTTAGAGTTTGGGGGTTTTAATATAACTTATATATGTACATTATGTATTTTATAATTTTAATTGATTGTTTTATTATTGTGAGCCGCCCTGAGTCTTCGGAAATAGGGCGGCATATAAATTTTATTAATAAATAAATAAATAAATAATAAAATCTGCACTACAGGCTACAGTATTTCCTTTTTTTAAAACAAAATCTTTAAAAAACAGTTGGTCGGTTTTATGTGAAATAACTAAACTCAGTCTAGACCCAGATCCTTATGGACTAAGAAGAAGAAGACTGAATCTGCAAACAACATCAGTTACGGTATTAGAACACCTTCTGGGAAAATAACATGCAAACCTACTTAGAAATCAGTTTTAAGGAATCAATATGTGGTTTTTAAGTACTTTTTTTACTTACAGCTTTCAATTTCCAGGGAACATGTCTGTGTGTCAAGGGGAAAACGACTGAAATCCATGTTACACATTGCTGTTACAGTGACCCTAAGAACACAGTAAGAGTATTTAATGAGTTAAAATGAGAAATGGGAGAATAAAAGAGGAATAATGCAGGTTAGATCCACATTCCATTTTTAACAAGTTTTAATGGAGTGCTGCGTAATAAATGCCATTTTGTTCATGCTTGGTTATAGTAATTTCCAATATTTTCAATAAGATATACACCCAGAACTGCAATAGCCACAGTAGCAGTATAAATATTGAATAAACTCCAATTAAGTCATGGAACGTGCTCCTGAGTAAAGATATGCAGCTGGCAGGGCAGAGGTGTAACATGGCTGTATTGTGGTGTGCTAATATACACAGTGGCACCCCAATCTGGACCAGATGCAGTTTCCAGATGGTCTTCAAAGACATCCACATTTAGAGCACATTGCAATTATCTGCTTTAGAGGTGTCTAAGGTATGAGTGACCATGAACAATGCTTCCAATACAGGAAGCAACTGGCGCACAATGTGAAACTGCAAAAGCCTTCCCAGCCACAACTGCTAATTAGTCTTTAAAAAGGAGTCATGAGTCCAGGAGGATCCCCAGACTGCATACAAATCTGTTCATAATACTGCAACATCATTCATAACAGTGATGGGTTCCTACCGGTTCGCCCTGGTTCGGGTGAATTGGTAGTGGCGGCAGCGGGAGGCTCCAGCTACCCACTCAGATGTCATCATGGACGCTCTGCGCATGTGCAGAAAGCATGCACGCTCACAGCTCCAAATCGGTAGCGAAGGTAAATGGAACCCACTATTGATTCATAACTAAGGATGGAAAAACATGGGCCCTTGAAGCCCATAGCCACCCAGTCTTGAGAAAGAACATCCACAGCATCACTAGATTGGCCTTAGGGATCTAGAACTCTGCCTCATCCTATGCCATCAGGCGATCTGATCTATAGCACTTTCTTTCTTAAAAAAATAATTTCATTAAGAATTATAATTATATAAATAAAAACTAGTGGAAACTACAAAAAATTCAAAGAATAAAAAGAAAAGATAGAGTGCAGGAAGAAATATATATAAAAAATAGGTGGGGGGGAAAGAATGTAAGGAGAAAACAAATACCTAAAGAACTTCCCCTTCATCACAATAAATATAAATAATTTGACAACTTATTATCTTCCCTTAAGGTATAACACTCTTTATCCAATATTTCATCTCTTACCTATAAACAAATCCTTAAAACCTTGTCATCCAGTCCTGGTCAGCAAAAATCCATTAATGGTTACCAGAAATAACAATATCAATTTTAACCATAATCAAATAAACCACCTTAATATTCCTTCCCTTTATATTTAACAATCTTGATCTTTAGTTCCTTCAAATAATATCCCATAACTTGATTTGATTTCCTTTTTCCTTTGTTCCTTTTTACCAAGTCTTTCAACACTTCAACAGATCTGCTTTGTAAATCCAATATAGGAAAATTATCCAACTCATTCTTCTGGTTTGTTATTTGTATGTCCTTTTTAAGTATTAAAACATCAGACGGTTTCATTCATATAGCTAGTATATCGTCTTTTTCTAGATCATTCTTGTAGCCTGTCATTTTTAAATCCAATTCAAATTTCAGTCTTGTACAGTAGAACTTGTTCCTCTTCCCTAACGTTATTTACACGTACTCTTATATATTCTTAAAATTAACTTCTGAATCCATTGTTCACAAATACCTTTCAGTATGTCACATGTTAAAGCATTTTGCTCCATGCTGTGTTAGCAAGTCACATTTGAGTGTTCTTCTCCTTTAATTATAATCTTTAATTCCTTCTGACTCCCTTCAGCATACAACCTTCGAAATCCCACTTATCAGTATTTTTTAATTTGTTAACAACAGCAATTTGAAGGATAATTTTAATGAATTAATTTGATTATAATTTCTTTGATTTTTGTAAGCTACCAACAGTCATTGACAGTCAGTTAGCATACAAGTTGAAATTATGATTATATACACAAGAATGTGAAATCACACTTGCCATTTCTTTAATTGATGTTGGTCTTTGTATACATTGAGTTCTTCCCACAAACCTAGGATGTTGTAATGTATCAGTGCAGTATATGTGCCAATCCAAGCAGTATGGCCTTTTGTAACTGATAGGTGGAAATTTTGTCAATGAGCATATTTTCTAAATGACATCCAAGATATTTTGGTATGGCATCCAGTGTGCCAATAACCATTGGGACCACCACTGCTGGTTTATGCCATAAATGTTGAGCTTCACTTTTCAGAACTGGATAGTTTATGATCGTCTCAGTTCTTTGACATCTATTCTATTATCCTCTGGTATTGCCACATCAATTATCTACATTTTCTTCTTTTCAATCATAGTTAAATGTGGTATGTTATGTGCCAAGACTTTATCAGTTTGTATTCAGAAATCCCACATTATTTTAACTAGCTCGTTTTTTAGTTTTTCAACTACATGTTCCCACCAATTTTCTTTACTGGCAGATGATAATTTTAACAGAAGTTCCACTGAATCATTTTGGCAACTGCTGTTATGTCATTGTTGATGATCAATTTGTGTAATCTTCTTGCATGAGCTGAGTAGATGATCTACTGTTTCTTCTGCTTCTTTGATCAATTATTATTGTGATTGCATCTTACCTCAAGCTGTAAAGTACTTGCCCATCTGGCTGTACTCGAAGCATGACATTATCTGTTGTTGTGTCATGGATAAAGGAACGCTTTGAATGGACAAAGAACATGTCAGGCACCCAGATCTTTTTCACAAGTCTGCCATCAAAGGTCATACTTTGGTTATTGGTACTTGGAAATGACAATCTTTCATCTTTCCAGTAATGTCTCAGGTAAAGCGTCATGGTGAAATCCTAATTTTAAAAAATGGAAAAGAGACATTTTCACTGCCAATCCTACCTTTTCCCCATAAATATTATTTAATCACATGTGGCAAATACTAAAAATACAAAAAAAACCTAAGTGTTTAAGCATTTAATGGAGTAAACAGAAAAAAAAGATTTAAAAATTTTCATCTACCTTAAAAATGAGAAAAATTCTCTTAAACTATTTGATTGAATGGTAATTATTTGTAATAAAAAAAACATAAAAACCACTAAAACTAAAACAGAAGCCATTTTGATAATGCAAATTTCAACATCTGCATTATGTTACATTAACCCTACAATAAATACATCCTCTGCATGGAAGCAGAAGTAGTGCTCCTAAATGATACTTAGCGGCTCCTATGTTCTTCTAGAACAGTGGTTCTCAAACTGTGGGTCGCGACCCCTTTGGGGGTCGAATGACCCTTTCACAGGGGTCGCCTAAGACCATAGGAAAACAGATATTTTCAATGCTTTTAGGAATAATTTTATGGTTGGGGGTCACCACAACATGAGGAACTGTATTAAAGGGTCGCAGCATTAGGAAGGTTGAGAACCACTGTTCTAGAAGGCTCTGGTGGGAATTCCCCTGTTTATAAATGTGCTCAAAGGACTATAATACTTGTGAATGTTTTCTATTATGTCCAGTTATGTCTGAGCCAAGGTTTATGAGTGGCATTTGAATGGCATTGCAAAAAGCATTAGGTTCAAACAAAACCTAAATTGGATTCCATTTTATTTATATTTATTGAAAATTAAATATTGTTGATACAATTATTATCCAGTCATGTTTATAATAATTAAACTCTTCTTTGCTATTAATAATTACATGAAACTTTAGGGAGTTGCATAAAGCTTTAGGAGCATCTAGTTGCATACCTCTGGGTCCAATATTGCTAACTTTATATTGAATTTCATGAGCATTTATGAGACTGGGATAAATTTATGATACAGGAGGCACTGTCTGAATTACTTTTGTAAATACATATGAATGTGCAAAAATAACTCCTTGAATACTCCAGACAATGCTGATCTCAATAAATGTCTTAAGAGTCCAGGGAATCCCGGGGTATATTCATGAACCACTAAATGAATCATATTCCAACTATCAATTTGCATTTTGAATCATAAAATGGATACTTACCATGTCTACCTCTGAAATGCTGTCCAGACTTTCAACTTGTACATCAACTCCAACAGGAATTGAAGGGCCTGGGTAAACATAGAGGATATTGATGTCAACCATTAGGATAGATATTCAAAAAGAAAAAAAAGTAGTGCCTATTTTTTTTTTAAATAGAATTTTTAAGGTCTCCCACTCACAGTTTGGGACTCTTGGTGGAAATCATCATTAGTAACCAAAAACAATAACATCAAAAATAGGTATCACAGGAAAGGTAGTTGTTAATTAACTACAACTTGTTCAGCGATCATCTGAAATTCTTTTATTTATTAGATTTTATCCGGCCGTTTTTACTTTAGAAATAAATAATACTTTTATTCCTCTTCCTATTTTCTCCACAACAATAGCCGTGTGAGACAGGTTGGGTTGAAAGAGAGTGACTGGCCCAAAATGACCCAGCTGGCTTTCATGCCTAAGACGAGGCTAGAACTCACAGTCTCTTGGCACGCCACAGATCACAACCTAGATACTTGGCAACTGGAACACGCTTATGACAGTTGCAGTATTTCATAGTCGGGTGATGGCCATTTGTGATCTCCCCTGCTGATTTCACAAACTCAGTGGGGAAACTGGCAAGGAAAAGTTACAAGATGTTCCTGTAACTCACACTACTGCAGCTTTTCCCCCTGAGAAGTCTGGCTGAGGAGTGCATGCATGTCCTCAGTACAATTTAATATCATCAGCATTCAATAATAGCAAATAGGACTGGAATTGTGGTTGATAAGGAGTGTCATAAATAATAGTGTCACATGACCATGTTGCTTGTTGACGGCATGTCTAGTAGTCCCAGTTGCTGTTATTCAGTGAGGACTACATGTGTCCTTAAACGAGGACCTCATGTAACCAAAACTTCAAACTTACTGCTCGCTTCTCCATAGATTTTGCTTGGGAGGACCAACAAGAAATTTCATAAATTGCAATCATGACAGCTCACTGTGACGTTGCAATCATTAGCTGGGCACCAAGCACCTGGATCATGAACACATGACCTCAGAACATTGCAATGATCAGAACTTTAAGGACTGGTCATAAGTCCCTTTCATTCAGTGCTGTCATAACTTTGAATAGTCACTGAATGAATAATCCTAACCCGAGGATTATTAAAAGGTAAAGATAAAGGTTCCCCTCGCATATATGTGCTAGTCATTCCCGACTCTAGGGGGCAGTGCTCATCTCCGTTTTAAAGCCGAAGAGCCAGCGTTGTCCGAAGACGTCTCTGTGGCCGGCATGACTAAATGCCAGAGGCGCATGGAACGCTTTACCTTCTCACCAAAGGAGGTCCCTATTTTTCTACTTGCATTTTTTACTTGCTTTTGAACTGCTAGGTTGGCAGAAGCTGGGACAAGTAACAGGAGCTCACCCCTTTTTCGTGGCATTAGGGATTCAAACCGCTGAACCGCTGTCGACCTTTCGATCTACAAGCTCAGCTTCTTAACTGATTATTATTATAGATTATTAGTACTGTACTAATCATTTTTATTTCCATGCTGGGAAATGGCCTCACCCAATGACGTCAGGTAGATGTTAAACATTTTCCCAAAATCCCTGCCATACCACCCTCATATTAATAGCACCCAGTTTTTGCAGCTTAACAACAGGCAGAAATTCAATCAGTAAATTTCTGAGTACCAGAATGCAGTGAGCAAAAAAATGAATGCAACATTTATGTCTGTCCTGCAATATTAGCAATCCTTGTACCCTTCAAGACTGTAATTTCAATTTATATCAAGGACACCAGGTTGGAAATGAATGCATTCAGATTACAATCATCTCTTCCAAAAAATGCCTACAATCTGAAAAACTACATCAGGAAAAAAAAAACTATCCCCTATTTAAGCAAACATTTACTGTACATTTCACAGGATGCAGTGATTCTTCCTATTCGTTTTTGTACAAAATCAATGCAATGTTTTTGCAAGAAGCTATCATACCTCCAAAGCCTGGCCGCATGCTGAAGTCATGGTCATCTATTTTGAGAAGTTGTTCTGACTTTATCAGTGGTGATTTGGTGATATCGGGACTTCGTTTAAGTATAGGGCTATATGGCAGGGAGACAACAAATACAATGCAACAAATTATTTCTTAGTTTGGGAGTTGGACCCCCAAGGAATCAGCACATATCAGAGGGGTAGGAATACGTTTTTCATATTTATGCTGATGAACAATATCCATAAATATTCAAAAATGAGGATTTTCTCCAGATTCTATGATAGAGTCCGCAAGTTCACTGAAAAGACTGGGTGTGTCAGATAATTCTTGAATATGTGGGAGCCACATGTGGGTAACTGATAAAAATGATAACATGGTAAATGATAGACCAAACAATAGCACTGGAGAAACAGGAACAAATAACATTACAGTGGCACTTGTAAAGAATTTCTAAGCTAATTTTGCAACAATTTGATTAAGGGGAACTATTAAAGAATTATGCATAATATAAAATCTAGTTGCAGTCCCAAAAGAAAGAAAAGGATTTGAATGCTTTATGAACTCAACAGAGCTGGGAGTATAGTAGCCAAGTACTACAAAAGCCAAGTATCTGAGGGCACTCTAAGTACTTAGAACAGGGGTGTCAAACCTGCATTGTCACGGCAGTGTCATGTGATGTATTGCAACTTTCCCCCCCTTCGCTAAACTGGGCATGGGCGTGGCCAGCGCGTGACACATCCAGCCCATGGGCCACGAGTTTGACTTAGAAGATAACAATTGCCTTGAAATTGCTCAGCCATAGTGTCATCTGAAGTACCTGAACAGGTACTCTGGTTACAATCATATTTGAGATGGAGACATGGAACGCTATTTAAACCATAGTAATTATTTACCACGTTGCACCATATGCAAATCTTGTTAAATCTCTGTTCCTGTTTTGTTTTCTCTAATTTGGCAATGCACAAGGGTACTCCGTAGAAGAACAGGCTGCACACTTAAATAAAGAAAGTGGTTGTCCTAAAGGTGCATTTTTTCAAGAGCCAACTGGAGTCTCTTGCTGTTCTTTGAAGATGTTTCACTTCTCATCCAAGATACTTCTTCAGCTCTGACTGGATGGTGGGGAATGGAAAGATTTATATTCTATCATCCAGTCAGAGCTGAAGAAGCTTCTTGGATGAGAAACAAAACGTCTTCAAAAAAAACAATAGATTTCAGTTGCCTCTTGAAAAAGCACCTTTTTCATCACCATCATCTGGATGACTGAGAATCTCCATAGACAAAGAAAGTGATTGTTTCCTTCTCTTGGAAACCTCTCCCACACCCTTACAAAACATCTTTTATGGGTTCTCTACGTTGCCCCTTTCTCAGCCTGACTGTAGAAGCAGTTCTGTTAATGGAAGAGCAGGTTGGATTCTAGACTGATGCACCAAATTCTGCAAAGAGCGTAGGAGATTGGAGAGGAGGCCTAGCAGAAATACTTCTATCCCTTGCTGCTTCAAACCCAATAATCCATAAATTCTATTGCTTTCTAAGCAGAGCTGTAATGTGAATCAGTCAAACCAAGTACATACATGTGCAAATTAGTCCTTTAATAAAGACTGTTACTGCCCAGGAATTCCTGAGTTGTGATCTTGATTCTATCCCTCTGTTTATGCAGCCTAGAACTGTATTGGCTTTTTTGGCAGCTGCAACACACTTCTGGCTCATATTTAAGTGATTGTCCACTAGGACTCCAAGATTCCTCTCACAGTCACCACCAGGGTAGGTTCTACTTATCTTTACTACCGGTTTGCAATGGGCCCCTGTGCACGCACGCACTTGCTTCGCTCACATGTGCGCGCTTCTGCACATGTGCAGAACCTTCCTGATGACATTGGGGTCAATGGGCGGAGACTCCCGCCGGTTTTACTACCAGTTCTATAGAACCGGTCCGAACCGGGGGCAACCTACCACTGGTCACCACTATTGAGCAAGGTACCACATATACTGTGCATTTTGTTTTTCTTGCCTAACTATAGAATCTTACTTTTTTCACCATTGCATTTCATTTTGTTGAATAGCGCCCAATGTTCAAGTCTGTCAAGATCCTTCTGTATCTTAAGCCTTACAGTCCTTGGCCTAAGGAGCTTTTTTTAAAAAAAATTTTTTTTGATTTATATGCCGCCCTTCTCCGGAGACTCAGGGCGGCTTACAATGCGTTAATCAATAGCCTTCATACTTTTGTATATTTTTTTTTATACAAAGTCAGCTTATTGCCCCCACAATCTGGGTCCTCATTTTACCTACCTTAGAAAGGATGGAAGGCTGAGTCAACCTTGAGCCTGGTGAGATTTGAACTTGCAGTAATTGCAGGCAGTTGATGTTAATAACTGTTAATAACAGTATTTTAGTTTGCCGCGCCACCAGGCTCTTCCCAATATGTTAGTTCCCCATCTCCTGAATTAGCACAGTTGTGAAATCAATCCATATTTTTAATTTTTATTCTAATAAGGAAAATAGATGATCCATGAAAGGGTTAGAAAACTGGCAACCTCCAGATGTTAACAACTAATGTGAGTTGGAGAACAACAACTGTAAGGACACAGAACCTTGGTCTGTGGATATCTTGTTTGAGAATGGCAGACTAGCTCTTATAGGAAGTATGAAATGGAACTTTCCCATCAGATGCTGCAGGAATATAATTTACCAAGTTTTGAAAGTAGTAAAATAATACATGTACTATTGCCACCTAAAAAAAAAATCTCATTCCCTCCAATCAAACTGTCAAATCCAGAATTTAAAGTAGCAAAACCATTCTACTAGTTTCTTGTTTATATATGGGGATAAGAAAGGAAAAAAGCTATAAGAATTTCAATTTTCAGTTTATCACTTCAATTTTAATTGCTTACCTGCCTTGCTTGTGTGTTGCTCCATGTGTTTCTCTTCTCTGTCTTTGTGGCTGGCTATAAAACCAAAAAGAACAACAACAGTAACACAATTTTTAGAAACTTCCATAAAAAACTTAAATCAACATGTCAAGTCAAGAGACAAAGCAGAGTTTATGAATCAACCCCAGTGTAATCTAAGCCCAAACAGGGAGAGACTTGGCAATACCAAGTGTGTACAATATACCAAGCCTCGTAAAATGGAGGTAATTCCCCAAGGTGGTTATTTGGGCATATCCTAAGTCCGTGATGGCGAACCTATGGCACACGTGACCAAAGTTGCACACCAAGCCACGTCGCCTGGTACGCGCTGATTTGCCTGTTTGTCTTCCGGGTTTCTGGGGCACATGTGTGCGCGACAATCAGCTGTCCTTTGCACGTGCGGCAGTGCCAAAAACCGGTGTGCCTATGCATGCCGGCCAGCTGATTGTCAAGTGCACATGCGTGCCAGAACCCAGAAGTTCAGCTTTCCCAGAGCGTGATCCCTTCGTGCGCACGGCAGTGCCAAAAACCAGCCTGTGCATGTGCGCCAGCCACCTGATCATCAGCTGTGCATGCACGCTAGAATCCAGAAGTTCGGCTTTTCCAGAGCATGGCCCCGATGAGCATGCACGCACGATGTTTCCGTGGTTCACCATCACTGTTCTAGGTATACAGGAGCATTTGTAATATCTTGTTTGTGAATCAAGGATCCAGTTGGGGACTGGATTGTTCCTCTTGTTATATGGACCTGAAAGCTTACTTCAGGATGGCCTTGATCTAGAATCTAGATCTACATCTTTCCTGTTCTTGCTCACCAATCACCTAAAAATGTAGAAAGCATACATATTTTTAGACAGTAGAGGACATAAACTCAGAAGTGGTTCCCACTACTCAAACTCAATGTGTGTTTTGCAGAGTAATAATGATGATACTCTGCTTAACTCTGCTTACCCCCATCTCCCCCACAACAAAAGTCATGTTCTAAGTTTCATTATACTATGGCTATTAACTTGATTACAAGTTTTGCAGGCCACTTTGAGAGATAGTTAACACTGATGCTGAATTCTTGAGAGCATCTATCTATCTATATCTATCTATATCATTTATCTATATCATCTATCTATCTATCTATCTATCTATCTATCTATCTATCTATCTATCATCTATCTATCTATCTCTCTGTGTCCTTTGTGATATCAATTCCCATACTGTACTTTGAACTTTCCTAGTTTTCCATTGATGGTTCACTATTAATCTGGATTAGATGGCTCAACTGGTATAGCAAAGATTCTACTCTTGCTAGTAGAAGATGGAGGTGACTTTTGAGGATCCACTTCTTGGATCCTCTAAAAATCTATGTGGGGAATTGAGAGAATCTGCAGAAAATGCCAGCTGCAGAGAGGCAGAGATTTAGTGAAAATTGGATCCCCTTTTCATACTCCTCTGCTCGATAATGGAAGAGAAGATATGAATCTTCTTCATCGCTGGATTGCATATCCCACATTTCATTATGAAGCCAGCAATATTTGGATTTTCACATCAAATCCACTGCATTGGTTTTAAAACAGCAAATAATATTTTATTTTAGTGCCAGCCCCATTCATTTTGATTCCCTGTTTTTACTTTGGAAGGTGGCCTTCAACACATCCCTCAAGGGGTAAAGACCTAAAAAACTTCATTCTCTACATCCCATAGCAAGGGCCATTTCAAGAGGAAAAGGAATTGGTAGCTGTAAAATGCCAAGGATGTTTGGGGGAGGAAGAGGCAGCAAGAAGGAAAAGATCATAGATATTCATTCTTCCATTGCTTATGATAGATTATTGAGCTCATTGTATGAAAACCAAAGGGCTTAGACAATAGTAGTTTAGTAGAAATGACAGCTGGATGTGAAGGGGAGGATGAAAACGGATAATAAAATGGGAGAGATATAAATAGATGAAATCTGGGTCATAGTAGGATTCCCATGGCAGCAGAGGAAAGAAGTGTATCTGCTTTGTGGCAGCAGAAAACTCTGTTCTTCCCCTTCCACCCACCCCTCAGTATCCCATCCCATTCCTCAATTCCCTCTCTTTGGCAAACTTGGTCACCCTGCACATACGGAACAAGGAAACAAACTTCAGTCCTTAAGTTCTTCTTTCAGCAGCTCTTGTGTCAAGCTCTTAACTCACTTTTATAACAGGCTCACTTGCAGTTTTCCCATAACAAAATTATCCAGTCGAAAGTAGCTCTGATTCTGACTAGGAATTTGAGAAGCTCTGCTCGAAAATGAAGGCTAAAAATTATGTTGGTTATGCTAAATGCCTGAATCTGCTCACATGGGGTATCTACATGTTTATACCCCATAAGGAATATTTGTAGCTCAGGATTGAAATGAGGGGTCTTTGTTGCTCTCTCAGCTTGGTTGTTTTCTTGCAGACTTTTTATCACCCAAACTAGATAACGTGATCAGTGCTAGTGGGAGTGGGGTTTGCTCTCATTTTATATTCTAGTGACTTGCCCTGTCGGTGTTGGGGGGAGTGGTTGGGCTGTTTACTATTAGCTTGTTTGAATATAAAAGGTCACTCTTTGCTAGCACTGATGCTGTTACCTAGTTTGGGTAATGAAACATTTGCAAGAAAACATCCAAACTCAGAGAGCACCAAGGACCCCACATTTTTAGGTATTTTAGAATGCCAGTTGAAGATAAAATTTATGTATGTAATTTATGAATGCCTGCTGGGACAATAATTTCCACCTATTGAAAATAAAATATGAAACTACTGATACATTCATGAGTTTCTCTGGGCAACAAAATAAAAACATTTTGCCATTGCCTTCTTGGATTTTTCCCTACTTTCCTAATCTAGTCTATCATCCAGAAATAATTGGCCTCCATTCCAGGTATTAATCAGGCTGAACTTTCTTAACTTCAGAACTCACAGAAGGTCAACAATATGTTGCTCTAAGATCTTGGCTTAATAAGAAACTTACAATTAACTATAATTTCCAGTTTCATCCAGTTTGGAAAACATGGTTCCCAGCATGGGGGAGCGAGATATTCAACCAATCTTAAACCATCATGGTTTGCATTAAAGCTAGCTCATAGTTATGACTGAAAGGGCAAATTATGACTAAACTTTCTGATATGCTTGCTGTTTAAAAGAGTGGATTCAGGACTTGCAAGCTTATCAATAACTCAGAAGATGAGGAGGAGTAGAAATAACATTTACGTATATCCTGCCTTACAGCTGATACAAAATCTCATTAAATCTTAGTATGAAAGTGGTCTTAAGCACAAAAGATAAGCTATTCAGTGCCAGTATGCCATTCCAATAAAGTCCAATTACATGTGAATCCTCTTTTCAAATGCAGCTTGCACAATGCAGATTGAAAGAATGTTCTGCACCAGTAAGAAAGTAAGATTATAAATAAGAAAGAAAAGATTAGCTGAGACAGGTAAGGCTCTTTGCCGCCATATTCCAAACTACTTTCATCTTCCCCATGCCTTTTGCTCCCTTTTAATTTGCCGCCTCCCCAACCTTTATAAACAGTGCTAAGAGGCAAACAGCCATTCAGGCATCCTGCGCAGAATGACTATAAAGAAGAAAACTTTAGAGGCATAGCTGAAGGATCCACCCCTGGCTTAAATGTATTTGTGTCAATGGCTGAAATGAGTCACTGGCCATATGGTCAGAGATCCAGTGTTGGAAAGGAAGCAGTCTCACAATGATTCTGAACAGGCATTGACCAATGGAGGCTTAGGATCTCAGAAGATTAGGGACCTAAAATATAGAAAAATCTCTGCTTCTTGAGTCCAGACGCCATTTATACATTAGTATACCATACTCTGACCATCAGAGTCAGTATAAAACCACTCTCTATTAATGATTTACACGCAGTGTTTCTCAACCTTGGCAACTTTTAAGACCTGAGGACTTTAACTCCCAGAATTCCTCTGACAGCTTGGCTGGCTGGAGAATTCTGGGAGTTGAAGTCCAGATGTCTTTAAATTGCCAAGCTTGAGAAACACTGATACAGGATCACTGATTGGGTGATGCTATGAAAGCATATATTGGAAAATAAGCTGAGCACAAAACAAGGCCATCTGTCCCAGAACACTGTGTTTCCATAGCATGGGCCAATCCAAACATCCTGGGGTGATTTGTCCATTCTTAGAGGTGAATCTTCTGGAGATGAAGTTGATAGCTACTTTCGGACCCTGGTTTTCAGCCAGCAGACTATTGGCATTTCTACACCCCTGAGAGCTTCATCTTTGCAGAGTGTGCAGTTTTAAATAAAAAATAAATCTTTATTCCCATGATAAAACAATGCTGACAATTAAGGTATCTGTTAAACTATTGCCAGGGCTGGTTTAAAGAATTTGGAGGCCCAATGTAACACGGAGTTTGGAACCCCTCCCCCTCCTAAACCTAGATTGATATTACACAAGAATTCCTGCAAATTGAGATGCTGAAATATTTAAACTGGAATATTCACAGTATCTGAACTAAAACTGAACATGTGTCTTAAAGAAACATTGGTTACATATGTCACCACAGTACAAAATCCATCTTAGGAGAATAGCCTCATTGGCCAACATAGAGCAATATTATTCTGTAAGAAGACTTGGTTCCCTGAAAACCTTCTTAGATTGATAAATATCTTGCCTAATATGGAGCTGTGTTAGCTAATAGATAGGGTGGCCTGCTTGAAAACCTCATTGGCCTCAGGTAAACTCTCTGCTCTCAGGTACATAATGATGGACACAGGAAGGCATGTCTGTACCTTCAGGCACCTATAGCTTGCTTCAACCTGCTGCTCCTCAGCCTATAGCTACATACACTGCAGTCCCCGTAAATTGGCCTTGCTATTTCCATGAGCATTTTCACGAACAGCTTAAAAATTAAGTGATAAAGACCTCAAAGGATTTATTTTGCCAGCTTCTTTACAGCGCTCTTCAGTTTAATTTTCCTTTTAAGAACTTGATTTGGCAGACAGTACTCTCCAGACAGATGTGTCCCAACCTGGCATCTCCAAGATATGGCAGATGACACTTCACAGAATTCCTAGCCAGCACCTGGTTGTTGTTTTTTAGTATAATATACTTGGAGATATATTAAGTTGGAAGAGGCTGTTTTAGGACAATGTGAATAGTTTCCAAAGTCAGGAGTTGGAGGGTATATTTCTTTAAAATAACATTTCATGTTGAATTCCACTTCATAAAATAATGTTTCTTCAAGTTTGAGGAGGAATCCCTCTACTGATTCCTATTTTGAATTTTGAATTGACTCAGACAAATAAAAAAATCAGGAATTCAACAACTTGGTGCTTTTTTACATAGCAGGTAGCTTATTCCTTGTTCCCTTTAACGAGAATTCTTCAGGGAGACTGTGTTGGATGCAAAATTCTGAGAGGACAGGAAGGGGAAAGGGGATTATTTTTCTGAAACTTCCTGAAATTAACTTATCTAAAAATTCAAGCAATTAATGCTAATACATTCACTACACTAAACTTCTTTGCACTAAGAAAATTTTGATCTACCTAAATCATTTGGAAGAAAAATACTACATTGGGTAATTCACAATAAATGTCTTTTTAATTAAAATAATTTCCAAGTATAATGGACACCTTACAGCACATAAAGATGGTACAAATTCTATAGTTCCACAGAGTTCAGTAGAATTTGCCTTGTAATGAACACAACCTTATTTACTATATTTCTTAGGTTATAGTTTTTGTTAGAAGTGTTAATATTATGAACCAATGTATAGAAGCATAAATTTGGCATACTGAACTCATGCAAAATGGAACCCCTTAGTTTTTACTAAGATCCTCAACAACAGCATATTGACATTAAAAACTCAAGGAAACTTTATGTCCCTGGTAGAAAAAGAAGCAAATCTAGATCAGGAATATAGAAGTAATTTGTTCAAGTCTTTTAAAATTCAAATTATGTAATAATTTTGATATATTCTATGATAATGAAAATGTTAAATAATTGTAATGAATTTATACACAGAAAATAAAATGTAGAAGATGTCTGGAAGAAGCATATCATGGATGTTTGACACAAGAGACATTTTCACTTGGTGCAAGTGTGAATGGATTGAAAAATATATTCAAAATATTAAAGTGAGAGAAAAGAAGGTGCGTTAGTTTCTCATTTAGTCTAATTATTCTAATTGCATCAAATGAAATGGTTGATCGGTTGCTATCAAATAATCTCTCCTGATTTCCTTCCTCATAATGTTCATGTGAAATTAAACTGATTTATATTTATTTAGTGTATTGATTATAAACTCATCACATCAAAAAGGGACATACTTTTACAATAAATAGTTTTAGTACAAATGAGAGATGGATGTTTGGATGTCTTAAATCTGGGCTGTATATTCTCTTGAAAACTGCATCACTTTTCATCTTTGGGGTTTCACTCACCTGCCCTTTTTATAGACTTCATGGATTTCTTTTCCATTAGCTTTGCATTCTCCAAATAAAAACCATCCACAAAATAGCAAGAAGACGCTTGATTGCATTTTATAAATCGTCAACATGATAGCTGTTGTTCTTGCATCCAGAATTATTCCACAAAATAAACAAAAAGAAGAAGAAGAAAGCAAAACGAAGGTTCGTTTTATCTTTTTAAAACATGATCCGTCTGTTCGTTATTGGAAGGATGTTTACTGGTAGGAGGGGAAAAAAAGGCATCCCACAATGTTTAATCTGGACAGTGGAGAAAGCAATTTGCACTAAATCTATAAATCCTCCTACGTCAGTGGCAGGGATTTTCAAACCATGCAGAATTCCTGAATCTGCAGATAAGAATTCTTTTGCTTAAAAAGGGATGTTAAAAATTGGTCTAAAATGAAGCATTTAAGGTATTTTAGGAAATGGCTTTTAAACGTGTCCCCCAAGAGAGTCAGTATTGTACAAAAGGATTTGGCAGAGCTCTTTATCCAGCAAGAGAGGATCCAAGGGCAACAGGGGCACCTGTTGAGATGCCTTTAAATACCAGCACTAATTTTAACAAACAGTCGTTTTGAGTTCTATCCTAGGTCAGTGCCTCATCCTTGTAGCTTGGCATCTAGGCGGTGAGAAATGTTTGATCCCCCAGCTCTGTTTTCTGGTGGCACTTGACACTTGTTTCTGGGTATCCTGTTATTAGTTTTGTGCTAAAGCTGCTTAGAGGCCTGCAGGGGTGTTCAAATACATCCTATGAAAACAGTAAAGCTATATGAAGGCCGGATGCCATCCCCTTCCCAGAGGGGGGACATTAGTAAGCTGTTGTAGTAGCTTGCTGCTTTCAGTGGGCCCCATCCCTGAGTGCGCCCCCTTCATTTGCATCACTGCTCTTTTGAACCCAGTCAGGGAAAGAATCAAGTTTCTTCTCAGAACTGACCTGTTTATTCAAAGCTCATGATTAGTCAGTGACTTAGAAGAAGGAAATCAACATGGCCAAGTGAGGTTTGCTATTTGTTAATAGACATTCCTACAGGGAATGGCACCGTGGGCATTTGTCCACTGATATCACAGTCTGATGACAGCCCTGAGATTAGCTGTGCTAGAATGATAAAACACAGCAATTGATTGGCTTAACACTCCATTCTTAAAGAACTCATTGACCTCTCAATAGCCATTTTTGGTCTCTAAAGTCCAAATGGCTTGATATTTGGAGTCTTTCTATTGCTTCTTTTACTTTCCTCATCTCTTTCATCTTACTATAGTGGGACAGTACTTACTATCTATACTTACTGTGGGTGTAAAGGGGGAGTTTCCCTTTTCCCCCACCTTTTTCTTCTGTGTGCTCTGCATGCTGTTTGATTTACCTGGTGATGTTCTTGTGTTCCTGAATAACTTGTCTGCTATGAATATAAATGTAAAATATATCTATTTATATAAAACTACAAGTTTCGTTTAGGTGTCTCCGACTTCATTTAGACAGCTGCTACGCAATCCCTTGACAAAAGTCCACTACTATTGAACTAGACTGGATTATATCATTATATTTCTACTACATTTCTGCTTTGTAAAGTATTTCCACCACCAGGAGACGGTGGGTTCTAGTCCTACTTAGGCATGAAAGTCAGTTGGGTGACTTTGGACTAATCACTCCCTCAACCCACCTGTTTCTACCCCTTGTGGAACTTCTGTGTCCTTTCAAATCTCAATTACATTCAAATACAACGAAATTGGTTTTAGCCTCACTGGTGCAATCTGTTATGTATGTATCTATTTTGTGCGGGAAATTCAAATGCAACAATGCTTGTGATTGGTTAACGGATATTTCCGAACTGTATATAAGGAGGGCTGTTGCCTGTTCTTTGCTGAAGTCTCACCCTGAAGTAAAGAGCTGTTGTCACTAGCTTGCTTGTGCCTCTCGTTATTCCTGCGCTACAACATTGGCGACGAAGGTGGGATTGAGGCCACAAGAAGCAAATCAAAAAGAGCTCTGAGTTTCAGCCAGGGTGAGGAGCGGACTAAGGAGACATACTGCGATGTCTGCCTACGTCCCGCCAAAACCCTTCGACCCGACCCGAGAGAAGTGGGGGTCGTATCTGACCAGGTTCGAGTGTTCCCTGGAAGCAAGTGAAATGCAAGGATTCTCCGCGAATTGTAAAAGAGCCCTTTTCTTGAGCCACTGCAGGCCAGACGTTTTTGAGATGGCCGAGTCCCTCTGCGAGCCAACTCCAGTCCAGATGGTCCCCTGGGATGTCCTACAAGCAAACCTGAGAGCCCACTACGCTCCCGTTCCTTTGAAGTTTGTACAACGCTACGAGCTCTGGCAACGAGTACAAAGAAAAGGAGAACCGGTCAGCGCATATGTGGCTGTCCTTCGAAAAGCCGCAACGCATTGCAACTACCAGGATTTAGACAACGCGCTCCTCGAACAGTTGATTTGTGGCATGAGAGACACTCGATTACAGAGGCGCTTACTAGCGAAGCCAGATTTGACATTAGCTGGCACGCTCGACGAAGCCAGAGCACACGAAGCATCCACTAAGGCTTCTGAAGCACTACACCGGCCACAGCCAAGCAAAGACGGGCCGAAGTCAGCCCCTGTTCACAGAGAGGAGGCGCGAACCAGTACAGAGGAAGAGTCAGACGAGGACGTCTTCCACACAGATAAGAAAAAGAGCGAGCAAAGTCGCCGCCACAAGAACTGTTCGAGTTGCGGCGGAAATCACAAGAGACAGTCCTGCAAATACAGAGGCACCATTTGCAGGCGCTGTGAAAAGAAGGGCCATCTGGCTAGAGTCTGTAGAGCTCAATTTCCGCAAAATAACAAGTCACGTGACTATTCCAACCAACCAGAACCGACACGTTCAAACCAGCCAACCAGAGATGGCGGCGCAAGAAAACGGCGCGAGAATCAAAAGCGAGAAACCTACAGCACAAGAATAGGCCAAGCCAGCACGTCTGCAGAGGAAAAGGTCTACACGAGAGTAGAAATTGATGGGAGACCATGCGACATGGAAATCGACACCAGGTCTACCCTGTCAATCATGTCCTGGGCTATGCTTAAATCGCTTCTACCGAAGTTCCAGAAAAACCAGCTGTCACGGCAACGAGTTCGCCTCCTCGACTACCAAGGAAACCGAGTTCCTGTGGAAGGCATGGGCACATTCTGGGTCACCTACGGCAAGTCCCAGAAAGAGCTTCCCCTGACCATCGTCAGCAAGCCACTACCAAGTCTCCTGGGCCTAGCATGGTTTCGAGCCCTCGGCATGGGCTTCACGGGTGTCCACAGCATCGGCAGACCATCGCTTAAAGAAAACCTCCTACACGAATTCCAGGACGTTTTTGAAGAGATGCTAGGCAAGTACGTGGGGACCCCTATCTCTTTTAATTTAGATCCTAATGTAGCCCAAATTAGGTTAAAGGCAAGACGAGTACCATTTGCCCTAAAACCAAAAATAGATGCAGAACTTGACAAATTAATCAAACAGGGGGTACTAGTTCCCGTAGATCACGCTAAGTGGGGAACCCCAATAGTCACGCCAGTAAAGTCAGATGGATCGATCAGAATCTGCGCTGATTATAAATGCACGATCAATAAGGTGTTGCAACAGAGCGCCTATCCCGTTCCGATCGTCCACCATCTACTACACTCCTTGGGCCCTGGCAAGATATTCACCAAGTTAGACCTTGCGCAGGCGTACCAGCAGCTGCCGGTAGATGACACTACGGCAGAATCACAAACTATAGTAATGCACAGAGGTGCATTCAAATGCACTAGGCTACAGTTTGGGGTTAGCATTGCCCCAGGGCTCTTCCAGAGCACTACGGAACGCCTCCTACAAGGACTTCTGGGGGTTGTCCCCTATTTTGACGATGTCCTCATTAGTGGCCAGAATGAGGCGCAGCTTGGAGACAGAGTTAGACAAGTTCTAACTAGGTTTAGAGAAGCGGGACTTAAATTCAAAAAGTCCAAATGTAAAATTGCGGTACCCTCCGTAGAATTTTTGGGCTACCGAATCGACAGCACAGGCATTCACCCCACAGAAAGCAAAGTAAGGGCTATCCAAAATGCACCCACGCCCAAATCAAAGCCCGAACTGCAGGCCTTCCTGGGACTTCTAAACTTTTATACCATGTTCCTCAAAGACAAAGCCACCATTGTGGAACCATTGCATAGACTACTAAGGAAAAACGTTCCCTGGGTGTGGGGCAAAACTGAAGCGGCCGCGTTTAAGGCTGTTAAAAAACTTTTGTCTGAAGACAGCTTCCTTATACAGTATAACTCTAAATTGCCGCTTGTACTTGTCAGCGATGCGTCCTCTTTTGGTGTGGGCGCTGTGTTGAGCCATAGACTACCGAATGGGTTAGAGGCGCCCATTGCCTATTACTCTCGCACTCTGTCTAGTGCAGAACGAAATTACAGGGAGGCCTTAGCGGCTGTAGCGGGGGTCAAAAAATTTCACGAATATTTGTTTGGCCGGACTTTTGAACTTATCACGGACCATCAGCCATTGTTGGGACTTTTGGCTGGCGACAAACCGACCCCGGCAGCTCTCTAGAATGGTCTATTTTCCTGGCTGCTTACTCGTACAGACTAATCCACCAACCGGGCCGGATTCTGGGCCATGCTGACGCCCTCAGCCGATGCCCCTTGCCTGATCTGTTGGAAAACCCGACTCCGGAAGCCCCTGTATTATTGATCGATGTTGTATCCCTGGGGCCCCTCTCGTCTGGCGAGGTGGCGAGGGCATTGGCCAACAACTCTATTTTACATATTGTGATGGGCTGGGTCATGCGGGGTTGGCCAACTAAGGTGGACGGTGGGGATTTTCAATTGTTCTTCAACAAAAAGAATGAATTGCCTATGTTGGGGGGCTGTTTGCTGTGGGGCGGCAGAGTGGTTATCCCCTCTCGTTTAAGGTATCGGGTGCTAGAGTTGCTACACGAAGGGCACCCTGGTATAGTCAGAATGAAGAGTCTGGCTCGGAGTTATATGTAGTGGCCACATCTCGACCAAGACGTCACTGAGTGGGTGGGGAAATGCAGGCCCTGCTAGGAGTCCCGCCCGGATCCCCCTGTAGCTCCCGTTAGAGAGTGGGAAAAGCCTAAGGGACCAAGGGGGAGGATCCATATTGATTTTGCAGGCCCGTTCCACAGCCAGAATTTTCTCATAATTGTAGATGCTTTTTCCAAGTGGCTGGAAATAGTTTTGAT